CGCCAGGGGCGGGGTGCGGGCAGTTGGGAGACGGGGGGCGCTGTCGGAGGGAGGGAGGGAGGGAGGGAGCGGGGGTGGGGCGCACAGACGATTCCAACAGGAGACTGGAAGAGATTTTGAAAGGTCATCTCGTCCTTCCCCCAGCCTCCTAGCAGGACTGCCCCTCCCACCCCAAACCCGGACATACCAGGGAAGGAGTTGGCTCTGCCGCTCTTTCTGCCCCAACATGCACAGACTCGGGAAGTTCTTCCTGGGGTTTTATCTCAAAGCCTCTCCCTTACAATTTGTCTCTCTTTTGGGGGAGGAGGAGGGGCGATTATAGAGATAGTTGCTGTCTGCCGTGTGAGAAACATTATTAAAGTTATTCTTCGGTCCTTTCTGTTCTTGATAAACAATTCCCGCTCCTTCCTCTCGAATTCTGTTTTCCATTCCTTAAGTCATTTTAATGGCCCTTCAATACAACACATATTTACTGAGTGCCTACTAAGTACCAGGCAGCGCTCAGCGGTGTGGGGGATGCACAGATGGGGTATGTGGTACCTTTCTCCTAGGGGATTGTGGTCTAGACAGAGGGGCAACAAACTTGTATGTAATATATTCAGATTTACTCAGTATTTACCGAATGCCTACTCACATATGTAATAGTAATTAGTCCTTACCATTTCCTTGTGTAACACAATTAGTCCCTGTTTGCAGGTAAGGAAAATGAGATTCAAGGCGTCTCCCCTCTGGCCTGCAAGTTCAGTGATCCTCAGTACGAAGCCTAACATCTCACAGCGTCACCAGATAAAATGAATGCACATGGGGTTTGAGGAGGAAGGCACAGACGCACTACAGCTCCCTGGATGTGCTTACAATGTGTGATTCCCACCCCCTAGGAGAGTAGAGTGGATACAACCCAGCAGGAGCAGAGCACAGTGGCCTGCAAAGAATGCGAATTGCCTCCCAGGACCTTGGCCCCTGGTACCAACTCCCAGGTGTTTTCTGACTCTGTCTTCTTAGATCATCAGTAATAATAAATAATAGTAATACTGGCCATGAACAGTTACTGAGCACTAATGCGCCAGGCCCTGTGCTACAGGTGCTGCTCTGACTAAGCTGGTTCACATGCATTTTCTCCCTTACCGTGCAAGGCAACCCCTTGATAGTGGTATTATTAACTTCCCTTTATAGATAAGGAAACAGTAAGCAGTTTGCCAAGGTCACCCAGGTAGATCTGGCATTTGAACAGAGGTCTGCTTGCCTCTAGACCTCAAGCTCTGCACCAAGCTGGGCCTTTCTTTGATCTATGGAGTATACATTTGGTTCTGCTTCTTACTGTACAAATGTCCCGTTTAGCTTCTGATGAAGCACTCTAGTATATGGGCATCAGCACATTAGGATGGCTTCATCAGGAAGCCGTGATTGTTAAACCCGCCAGGTGGCAAGGCGGTTAAGGTAGCTGGGTCCCACGCGGCCAACACTGCAATTCAAGTCTGGACCTGCAGGTTGAAAGACATGCTGAGCACATGTGAGTGTGTGTGCCCAGAATCCCTAGAGGAGAAGGGAGGGGGGTTTGTGGCATGGCCATCCTCCCTGGGGGATGATTTTTCACTTTCCCCCTCTCTTTCTCTCTCTCAGTCCAGTGAGCCCATGAGCCCTATAGCAAAACTTGAAAAAAAAAAAAAAATCCTTGACTCAACAACCCTTCATAGTTAGCTCCCCCTTTTTGTCTATACTTTTGCCATAGGGTGCATGCACTCACAGAGGGGGACAGACATGGAGAGGGAGAAGTGAGAAAACCACCCCTGGGAAGAATAGCCACATCTCAATCCCTTCTCCTCCGTCCTGCTCTGCGGATTTTGGCCACGTGGGAATCCAGCACCTTAACCACCACACCACCTGCTGGTCCCTATTCACCCTTTTATTAAACTGACTCAAATAGGTGGAATAAGTACCCAAAGTCACAGGGCTGGGAAGTCAGCATAGCTGAGATTCTAGTTCAGGTCGGTTTGCCTGCGAGGCACCATCTCTCTAAAAAGTACTCATTTTTGTTTGTTTGTTTGTTTTTGAGAGGTTTTTGCTACAGTGTACTTGCGCTCGCCAGAGAGAAACAGAGAGACAGAAAGTGAGAAATCACCCCCAGAAGGGATGGCCACACCGCAATCCCTTCTCCTCCATTCTCCTCTCGGGATCTTGGGCATGCACGCACACACGCCCGGCGTTGAGTTCAAGCCACCGGGTCTGGGACTCGAACCGCGGTCAACTACATGGGAGTTCAGCGACATAGCCATTATGCTAACTGCTGGTCCCCAAAAGTACTCATTTTTGCAGTATCATCATTATCAAGACTGATCAGGGACCAGCAGTTGGTGTAATGGCTATGTCGCTGGACTCCCATGTAGTTGACCATGGTTCAAGTCCTGGACTCTGTGGCTTAATCTCACACCCCACCCCACCCCCCCGGCAGGGGTGATTTCTCGCTTTCTGTCTCTCCATCTCTCTCTGTCTTTTCTGCCCTATAGCAAAACCTCTCCAAAAAAAAAAAAAAGACTGATCATTTGGGCACCCCCTTATATAAGACTAGTTGCGGACTATTAGTCAAAAATTATCTCCACTATAAACAGGGATCCTCACTCACTTACCACCCAATTCAAGGAAAATTCTTCAAGAAAGGAAGGAGAAAGGAGAAACTGTCAAGAATGTGAGAGGCAGGAAAGCCAGAGGAGTTAAACCTTACCTGGTCTGGGGATGAAGCTGCAAGGAGGAATGTGGGATCTTGCTAGGGGAAAGTAGGTAGTTGAGGAAGCCACGGGAAGAATTAAGATTTGACAGAGACGAGGGGAAACTTAGGTCCAGTGCGACCTCCATGAAGATGATGCAAGTGAATCAAGAGGAGAATCAGCGGATGGGCGAAAAATGGGAGCAACAGGAAATGGGAGCAGAGTGAGACAGGGCTGGGCGTCTTGTGGAGTGAGCTAAGGCTGGTGTCTCCCCAGAGCCACTCCCTGGATCCTTCTGCCCTCAGAGGGACCTTTGCCCCACCACAGCCCACCCCGATAGCCTATCTCTGCTAGGACCAGTCTGTCCTGTGCTCTGAACTACCAAACCCTTCGGACGTCCGAGGACCCAGCTTGGTCTCGTTCCTGTGGAATAGCTGCCTCAGACTAGGTAGGTGTGAGGCTCTAAGTCTCAACTCCGTGAATATTGGGAGCGGCAGTGGGACACTGAAAGAGATGTTGTCGCGTGTCCTACCTCCTGATAGGAAGGCCCCACGTTTGTTTGTTTATCTAGGTCTAGGAAACATCCAGCTCTCGTGGTCACAGGGCATGGAGGAGACAGCTGGTCAGCAAGAGGACAGACCTGGCCTCCGTCTGGAAAAACTACAGCAGTGGGCGAGGCACAGACGCAATGGGCACCTCTTGGTTCTGGCGGTGAGGCCAGGCTGCCCCAACCCAGGTCCTGGCATGTCCTCCCGTGTCGTTTGATTCCATCCCTGTTTAGTGAGACCTAGCATGTGCCAGAAACCATATGAGGTTCTGAGTGGGAGGAGTGGGAGGAGACAAAGAAACAAGGCAAGACCCTTAATCTCCAAGTAGCTTCTATCACAGGGGGGAAGCATACAGGTAAGTAAACTGTAACAGAAAAAAAATCATACTGTTTTTCATGATCGCTTCCCTTACTGCCATTGGTTGACTTTCTCCGCCACGTATGTGTTCATCACAATTGCTGAGCTCCAGAAGAGGCAGGGGTTGAGAGGAGGGAAGGGAATCCCTGACAATTCCTTCTCAACGACTCTGCCCTGGCCCCCAGGTAAGCCAGCTGTGGCTGGCCGCAGCTGTGATGCCCTTCGCCGTCTCGGTTGCATGCCTGAACTCTGCTTGTCACGTGGCCACAGCACTGCCACTTGGGCCTGGAGCCTCAGTAAGACTCACGAGCGAGGGGAGAAGGAAGACCTGGGGTCTCTCCCTAATGAGGCCAGAGTTCAACACTCGTACTTCTCACCATTCAGGGTTTCGTCACTGGGATTATCACCCTTGAGCTTCGCAGAGCGCCCCGCCTCTGGAAGGTAAGAGGGGAAGAAAATGCACCACCGTCCTCTGATGCCCCAAACAGGCACACAGATACAAACACACACACCACACACCGTCCTCAGCCTGGGAAGTAAGTGGCTCTCTTAAGTGCTGACTGAGCCTCTCAACTCTCTGCCCCTGACACACCTAAAATACTGAGGGAAAGCAAGACGGAGGGCTCGTGGCCCTGTTGGAGGTGGAGGGGCAGAAGCAGAGTGTTGGGCTCCATGAAGCTATAGGTGGGACTTAAGGACGGCTACCCTAGGGTGGGCAGGGCTGAGCTGGCTCGCTGGCAGGTGCGGGCCATGATGATACTCAACACCTGCAACCTGATCTTGGGCTTCATAGTGGTGGTGGTCGAGGTGATGAAGACAGCCTTGAGGCCTGCCCCGACTGCACCCTCCCAGGTACGGGTGAGAAAAGGAGAAGGTGGGAGGGTGAGCAGGCAAGAGGAGATGGGTGCGGGGTCTTTATGGCATCCTTAGCCCTGTCTGTCTGCAGCTGGCTGGCTTGCTGGTACTGCAGCTCAGCGTGGAAGCCTTCACCCTAGGGGGAGTGCTGGTCTCAGCCTACGCTCTGCTCCTGCTGAGCCAGAGGAAGCCAGGATGCTGCAGGAGCCAGAGTCTTCACTACCAGGAGCTGCAGGAGGTACAGGGGGGCAGGGAGGAAAGCTGCCAGCTATCTCCAGCAGCTATACTGGTCAGTGGAAAGGCAATTGGACAGGAGGGAAATGAAGGGGTTTTAAACAGAAAATGAGTGGCTTTCTGGCTTGGGGACGTTTCTCCCCTAATGGTAAGAGGGACGTGGGTAGTATCTAAAGGACTGGGAACAGGAGAGCATTAGGAAGCTATGGGAAACCGGAGGGAAAACAGGGAGGAAGGAGACATTGCTTCAGTCGGGTTTCTCCTTTCTCACCCCTGCCATTTGCTCACACCTGTGTCTGGCTTTCAGGGCCTCTCTGAGCTGGAGGAGGTGCCTGGTTTGGAGAATGGTTCCTCGGGGGCCCGCACAGGAAACGGAACAAATGAGTGAGCAACAAGAGCGCTGCTTTCCTTCCAGTAAAGGAGCCCTCTCCAGCTGCTCCTGCGGCCCATCCCACGACTCAAGCTCCTGGACTCCCTTGAGACTCACGAAGTCCGCGGGACTGCCTTCAGTTTCCACCTAGCGCAGGCCCTTCCCTTGCCCACTAGAGGAAGGTACACCTGGACCAGAGTCCTCCCTCACCTCGCTGCCCTGCAGGCTGCTCCCCGCGTCCATCTTTGCTGCCTCCCCAGACAGCTGCACACCTGACCGTCTCACTGTTCTCTGCACCTTTCACTGTCCCATCGACGCCAAGCCCAGGTCCCCGCACATGCCAACTCTCTGAATCCAATTCGGGGGCGCCCGAGTTCTCCCCCTCCATCCTCTTATTTTACTCCAGCGGAGACTACAAGCCCCAAGATGCCCCGCCACCCCGTGACCTGCTGGGAAATAAAGAGCCTTTCCTCCGCGGAGGGGGCGCTGTGCATCTGCTGAGTGACGCGAGGCGCACAAGTCAGGGCCCAGCCGAGAGTTCCCTCGGACGCGACCACTGGCCCCGCGCACGGGGAGAAGCCGGCCGGGCAGCCCTGCGCCAGGCCCAGCCGCCCCGGCCACC